CCCCCCCATAGTTTCCCAGTACCATCTGTCATTTTCTCATAGTATTGCATTGGATGTCAAGGGTCCATTATATGAGTGAGAACATGTGATATTCGGATTTTTGTTTTTGTGAGAGGTCACTCAGTATTATAGACTCTAGTTCCATCCAGGTTGCAGCGAAATTCATGATTTTGTTCTTTTTTATATGTACCACATTTTTTTAATCCAGTCCTCTTTTGATGGGCAGCATGGTTGTTTCCAGGTTCTTGCTATTGTGAACAATGCTGCGATAAACATACGTGTGCAGGTATCTTTTTTATAGAGTGATTTGTGTTCTTCAGGGTATATTCCCAGTAGGGGGATTGCAGGGTCATATGGAAGGTCAATTTTTAGAGCTTTTAGGAATCGCCACACTGCTTTCCACAGAGGTTGCACTAGTTTACACTCCCACCAACAGTGTAGAAGTGTTCCCTTTTCACCACACCCTCTCCAGCAGCTGTTATTTTTTGAGTTGTTGATAATTGCCATTCTGACTGGAGTTAGGTGGTATCTCAGTGTGGTTTTGATTTGCATCTCCCTGATGATTAGTGAGGTTGAGCATTTCTTCATGTGTTTGTTGGCTGCTCGAATGTCTTCTTTTGTGAAGTGTCTGTTCATGTTTTGCCCATTTTATAATGGGGTTGTTTGTTTTCTTCTTTTCAGTACGCTTCAGTTCCTTGTAGATCCAGGATGTTGCTGTTTTTCTTAAGTTGTTAAACTTCATTTTTTAAAAAAAGAATGAGTTCGGCACAGCTTATCTTTTTTTATTTCAGGAAGACAAGATTTTGCTCTGTTACTCAGGTTAGACTTGATCTCCTGGACTCAAGCAATCCTCCCAACTCGGCCTTCCAAGTAGCTGGGATGTCAGTGTGCCATGGCGCCTGGCCCAGTTCGTCTTTAAACAAAACTCTTCATTCCATGTGACATTATAGGCTACTGGCCAGACTTTGTAGTGTCCTCCTTTAGATTAAGTGTCAACCCCAAGGGCTGAGGTGGTGTTGACAGCATCATCGCTGCATGGTACTGTCACCTTGTTAAGGTTCCGAAAAGAAGAGTCCCTTAAAAGGAAATTGTACAGGTAGAAGATACCATGGTTAAGATACATGTGTATAGCTCACTGCTATAGGGTGCTTTGGGGAAAGTAAGCTAAAGAAGTCACACCATCACAGCATTTGCTTTCATTTTAGGCTAGGGAGGAAAGAAACTCTGATCAAAATAACAGGTGGTAGCCAAAGAAAATAAAGCACACAACTAGACTCAAGTGTTCAAAAATTTAAAAATAAGTAAATAAATAAACATACACTTTTTCTTTAAAAAGAAAAGGGAACTAGGCTCATAGCAAAGGGTCTCTGAACCCTGTGTGCCTTCTACCTTGGCACCTTATTCCTCAACTTCCTGTCATGCCCCCAGGAAACTTCTAGCTTTCACCCTCTTACAGCTGCTGCTTCATCCCCTAGAGTCACCACCACTGTCTTTGAGGTGAGGATATTTATCTCCTACTACAAAAAGTGAAAAAATGTAGCTTTGTAGATACTTTTATTTGTGGAACCTTATGTAAACAAATGTGTAAACATTGGACAATACATATCATTTTTTGTAATTAGGCTAACTATTAGCTCTCTTTAAAAAATGTAAAAACAAGCAGCTGGGGCAACTTGGTGAGACCTCATCTCTACAATAAATCAAAAAATTAAGCCGGGCTCGGTGGCTCAACCTGTAATCCCAGTGCTTTGGGAGGCTGAGGTGAGTGGATTGCCTGAGCCCGCGAGTTCAAGACCCGCCTGGGCAACTTGACGAGACCTCATCTCTACAATAAATCAAAAAAATTAGCCGGGCGTGGTAGCTTGTGCCTGTAGTTCCAGCTACTTGGAAGGCTGAGGTGGAAGGATCACTGAAGCCCAGCAGGTCAAGGCTGTGGTGGCCAGGAGCAGCCACTGCACTCCAGTCTGGGCGACTGATTGAGACTCCAACTAAAATAAATAAATAAATAAATAAATAAAAATAAAAATGTTAAAACAGGCTGACTGTGGTGGTTCACACTTGGAGTCCCGGCATTTTTGGAAGGATTACTGGAGTCCAGGGGTTTGAGACCAGCCTAGGCAACATAGTGGGACCTTGTTTGTACAAAAATTTAAAATTACCTGGTGCATGGTGGCGCCCGCCTGTAGTCCCATCTACTCAGGAGGCTGAGGTGGAAGGATTGCCTGAGCCTAGGAGTTGGAGGCTGCAGTGAGCCATGATCATGCCACTGCTCTGCTGCCTGGGTGACAGAGTGAGAATTGACTCAGAAAACAAAGGGGAGGGAGGTAAGAACAGTACAATTGAGTTAAAACACTTGATATATATTTTTGGTAAATGTATAACTTTAACAAAAACATGATTTATAGCATACACTTAACAGAAAAATCTTTGTTTCCAAACTTACTTCCTTATTTTTTCCTGTCTTCTCTTTGGTTTCCAAAAGACTTCTTTACTTGAACATTTTACTGTTATTTTAAGTTAAAAATCTCAAAAGTTGCTGAAGTTATTCCCTTATTTTTCAAATAGGCACTTCTTCTAATTTTCCCATAGTCTAACCAAAATGTCATATTCCTCTCTAATCCATTAATCTGAACTCATCTCTTCTGATAAACCCTCAGTAATTGACACTGAATAATTCATTCCATTATGCTATCTTCTGAAACCCCAAAAACTTGTCTTCAATTTACAGTATATTAATTGGAAGTTTTTGATATTTGTAAGCTATGATTTATTTCAGTTTCTTTAGTTATATTTTGCTTAAACTCCTGTGAGTTTCTTTTTTTAAAAAAAATAACTTTTTCTTGTTTTTTACATGCACCAAAATCTTCTAGTAAACAGTAGGTCAAATCACTGATTGTTGTTTAGAACTATATAGATAAGCTCCAAAGTCTGCTTTTATTTCTTTCTTCCCTTCCTTTCTTTCAGCTTCCTTCATTTTGCTCCTAGAAGATCTTTCTAGAGGAAGAAGGGTGTTGCTTATTTTATAACTTTGGGTGTCAATGATAGAGATTAAGCTTTGATTTAGGTTCTATGATTTGGAAACATATTTTTTTTTAATTACTAATTCCCTAGAATTTTACAGAACTCTTTTGCTAAACCTGTGAGCAACCTCTTTATTTGAGTTAGTTCATTCATGGAGTGTTATGACAATAATTTGAATGTTAGAGAAACTTTCTGCATATGGTTCGGTTTTTCAATAATTCCAAACAGATTATGTCTGAGGGCATTTTTGTCTTAGCAGTATTGAACTAAAACTAACTTTTAAAATACTTCAGCAAATTTAACGGATCCATTGCTAGATATGAACCTTTTATAAAAGATGCTACGCTTTATTCTTTATCCAGTACTATGCTGCCATTTTAGCTGATAATAACAAACCATTCAAACAGAACTCAAAATTAATAGATACCAATAAGAATTAACTTATTTTTTCATTAAAAAATAGATTCTTGTTAAATTAAAAATGTTAAATTTAATAAATTAGTAACAATTAAATGTGTATTGATGAGGAAACCAAAAGTTGGGGTAAAAGACAACTTACAATCTAGGTTCAGTTTTTTTGGTTTATGTGAGTTAACTTTTCATAGCATGTCTTCACCTTTTCCTTGGCAGGGTCTCAAGGGACATCCAGGACTCCCAGGACTCCGAGGTGAACAAGTAAGTACTTAAAAAATTTGTATTGTATGTGGAAAAGGTACACATTAGGGAATTCATTGAGAGATGATTTCCTCCACTTTTTTATTTTTCTTCTCAGTGATTTTCACTGTGTTTAGTATAGAAGACCCTTTTAATTGATTAACTGTAAAAATTTTTTAATTAAAAAATTCATAATGGATAGTATTTCACTATTATTCACTTTTACTTTTGTCTAACATGTTTTAAACCAGTAGTTCTTAAGCTTCTGTGGTTCACAGGTACCTTTGAGACTCTCATAAATGCTATGAACCCTTTCCCAGAAATATGCATATCCATGCACACACACTCTCAATTTTTTGTACAGTTTTTGTGGCTTACCTGTTCACTAAAGCCTAATCCACAGCTATTAGTTCCCTAGCTTGTTTGAGGTAACTCAAATACATTTTAGTAACAATCCAAATTAGCATGTTGCTTATATTGTTGTTCCTAATACACACATATATATATATACACTATTTAAAAGTCAAGATAGTTTTGGAACTATTTAGTTTTTGGTTATGTTACTGCTTCTTTCTCCCACCAGAAAATAATGTCATTATGTCACAAGAAAAAAATAAAGTTATATCTCTTGTTTTCGATATGGTATATACTAGGTCAGTATGAATATAATTGTGAAAAGGGTATGATATTAGAAACTGACTAAGGTGACGGATGCCATTATTCAAGAATTGGCAAAGAGCCTCAGGAAGCCATAAAGGCAGATCCAGGAAGAAGCATGATGGATGATACCTGGAGGAAAGATATAAATGAAGAAACAAAGCCAGTTTTCTCTTTCATGCTTGTTAAGTGAGACAGTACTCAGTCCCTTAGGAACAATGTTTAAAGATTATTAATTACTAGACATGGTGAGAAAAGTGATATGTGTATCTGTAACAGGTGTAATATGGGTTTCCTGAAGATCAAAGAAGTACTGAAAAGCATTTGAATATTTATGGGGGAAAAAATGGAAAAGGTGGTAAAGAGTCCCTGGGGTGGGGGGGGGGGAGGGGAATCTTAGAATACTGCTTTGGCAGAAATGTGTAAATTCCAATGGAGGAAGCCTGATACTTCACAAGTAAGTGAAAATTTGGCCATGTGTCATTACTGACCAGTTCTCTCATAACTGCTCTATACCTAATTCCTGTGATGTCCAAGTTATTATTCTGAGGGTAATATATTTTTAGAAGAGTCTAAAATCAGTTTTAAAGGTTGAAAGATGTATTTCACAGTCAGTTCTTGCTTTCTATTCTATTTGTTTCCAGAAGAAAAGGAGGCAAAATTTGTGTTAACTTTGGGGAACAACTATAATAATTTTGTATTATAGCTGTGAAAAAACTGTGAATATAAGAAAGCACAAGCAACTTACAAGAAGACATTCATTTCTTGAAAATTTGTAAATATCTATAAGTTGGTCAACAAATATTTAGAAAGGTAATTTTATCAGAGTGAGCTCTAGAAGATAGAGCTGTCATTTACTGAACACTTATTATCTGCCAAAATGTATTACTGTTAACTACAACTTCTACTATAATTATTTAATATTTTATGTATTACTGTTAACTATAACTTCTACTATAATTATTTAATATTTTACATTTGTTAACTAATTTAATATACAGTAACACTAAGATAGCTATTACAGTTACTTCTACTTTTAAGTATATTTCAGCACCTTGTTCTATTTTCTCCACATACTAATCCTGTGACCCAGGTACTATTATTCTATTTCACTAATAAAAACAACCAAGATAAAGAGAGAACCATAGTGGCAGTGCTGGGATTCTGAATGAAGTTTAACTGACTCCTAGTGTGTGTTTTTCCTGTGAAGAGTGAGAAGTGAGGCTGGGGCAGGCTTCCTAATTTCCTGTTCCTAGTTTCTCAAGGGGCTAGTGATATAACTTCATCTCTGTTTCTTTATCCAACCTACAGCTTTGGATGAGCCAACTTTCTTCTTATCCCTCTTTAAGCGCAGAATGAATTGAGTCATGGTGTTTGTTTTGAGGTTCTTTTGAATTTCTGTGGTTGACGCAGGGATTTTAGAGTGTAGTTGGCTCAGATATGTTTATACCATATAAAACTATACTGAAGTCTTACTTGTTTACTGCTATTCTGGTAGAGCAGAATTTAAGCATTCAATAGAACCCTTCTGTGTCTTTCTCTGTGCAGCTGTAATATGTTAGACCTCTACATGTTGTCTTAACACACTTGATGAAAATTGATTCAAAATCACATTTCACTTATGTTCTATAGCAGATTAGCTTTCTATTGTGGTCAGTTAATCTGATTTAACTGGGAAAGAAATGGGAAGGGGATGGTGGTAGGCGCTAGCAAGACAGTGACCAACAGAATAAAAACAGCCTTTAAAATGTGTTTCATTTCTTTCTGTTGACATACCTAAGTGTACAATTTTGTGGATGTCTGACATAGGCCTATGTATTTTGAAATTTGATAGGGCATAAAGGAAAGCAGTTGTAAGAATACTGAGCAAATTTCATAATTAGAAAGCTTTCTGCAGAGTGCTACTGGACGTTATTTGCACTTCAAATTCACACTAGGGAAGCAGCCTTTGAATGGTGATCTCTGAAATTAGACTTGCTGACTTAAGTCCTGTCTTCCTATTTACTAACTGAGTGACCTTTCACTAGTGATATAAATAAATACTTTATCTCCTGTGTTTTCTTATCTGTTTTATATATAGGAATAATGATATCTCTTAGAATTCTTGAGTAGATTGAATAAGAGAATACATATAAAATAATTGAAATAGTGCCTGGCACATGCTAAATGCTCAACAAATATTATAGAAATAAAATATTATATATAGTATGTGATATGAGTAAAGGAATATTTAGAACATAAATATGGTTTTTGAAATTCATAGGATATAATCCCTCTACATGTAGACAAAAATGTATTTATTCTATAATCCCCAGAAGGCCACTGTTTATTCACATTCTGTTAAATTGTACATTGTCAGAACTTCTCTGTATCTTGGTTTCTTCAAATATAGAATGGAGAAAATAATGTTTGTCTCAGATGTAAAGTTCTTGGCACATAAAAAAGTGCTCAGTAAATGCTAAGTTGGGGTCAAGGGAAGGAAGGGGAGATGAGAGAGAGAGAAATAAGAGAGAACAGAAATGAGAGATGGATTCTGAAAAAAATTAAGAGAAGAAACTTCAACTATGATTCTCCATTTGCCTTTTCCTTGGCCCATTTTTCCATATTTTTAGGAGTTTTAGTGTCTTTATACTTAAACTGGAGGTAACATTCTTCTACTTCAGAACAGAGGGACAAAGTGCTATTCTTTTTTATTATGTCTTTTTTTTTTTTTTTTTTGAGAAAGCAGGATTTATTGAGAAGACAGAAAAGTTCCCACAGTGGGAGGGGACCTGAGGGAGTTGCCCTTTTTTATTATTTCTTTTGAAAATGATTTTACTTGATAAATAAAGGAATCAAGAAAACAGCATTGTTGTTGCCATTTGAAATTAAGTGTAAAGGCAGTTCAACACACATTCTTCTGGCATGTTCTTGGTTCAAGATTTATTTAAAGGGCCTAAACTCTGAATAAACCAATGAGCGAACAAATGAATGATGTATCAATAAAAGTTTTTTTTTTAAAGAGGTATTTTATCCTACTTTTTCACCCCATTATGCAGCATTTTTTCTTTCTTATGCTTGTGGGGCTCCATCTGTCAGCTTCTCCTGAGCAAAACTTGTTTTAAATCCAGATTTCAAAGTTGTTTCTTCCAAATGAGTGACTGTCTGTCTTAGGTCGAGCTGCTGTAGCAGATACCATAGAGTTGGCAACTTATAAACAACAGGGGTTTATTTCTCACAATTCTGGAAGCTGATAGTTTGAGATCAACATGCCAGCATGGCTCAGTTCTGGTGAGGGCCCTCTTCTGGGTTACAGACTACTGTCTTCTCATTGAATCCTCACATGGTGGAAAGAGAGCTAATCAGCTCTCTGACCTTCTCTTATAAAGCCATTTATCCCATTAATGAGGACTCCATCTTTGTTACCTAATTACTTCCTAAAGGCCCCACTTCCTAATACCATTAGGTATTATTATTAGAATTAAGACATCATCACATGAATTTTGAGGACACACATTCAGTCCATAGCACCATCAAAATTTACTAGACCCATGTCATGATAAAGGTATTTCCACTTAATGTCCATTTACTTAGTCAGGGTTGCAATAAGATTAAGTTTATTTTATTAAGGAAGAAGAGATTGGTTTTGAAGTGTACTGCCTCTCTTTTTTTAATTAAAAAAATTTTTTTTCTGCCTCTCTTAATCTTGGGCTCATACTTAGACAGTTAAAGAACATTGCAGGATGAGGAGACAAGAAAGAATTCAATCTAAAAAAATTACTGATAATTGAGAAATGTGCCAGCACTTCTTCTAGAAAAAAGTCTTTAGTTGTGGATTTTTCCATATGTTTGTCATTATTAATGACATTTAGGGCCCTAGTCTAACGGCTTTACTTATTTTTATTTGGCAATGTTGGTCTATTTTTCTTCAAATAGGTGATTTTAGTTAGATAAGCATATGTAGGACTCTATTTTTATGGGGAAAAATTCTTTCTAAATGTTTATGTAATAAATACACCAAATTTGTTTCCTTGCGCTTCCTTTGGCTTTATTGTACTGTTTCATTTATTTTGCTATTTATTTCAGGGAATTCCAGGATTAGCTGGTAATATTGGTTCACCTGGTTACCCTGGCAGGCAGGTGCAGTAACTATATTTACACTTCTACTTTTGTGTTCCTCTCTACTAATTCATTGTATGTTCTGATTTTGAGAATCAATATTCAAATGACAGTTGGTTTATTTTTGTGAAATAATGAATTAATCATAGAAAAATAATTTCAAAATCAAAGTTGTGAAAATCCACTAAACATTTTACTATAGAAAGTTTTGTTTGAATTGGGAATGGGGCTTTGAAACAACTTTGATGTGATGTACAGTGAATGGAACCTTCAAAATTAAAATGCCTAAGGATTTAATATGATTTAAAAATAATCCTGACGCTGATTTTATATTACTCACATGACTCAAAAGAAGTAATAGTAAGAGTTAAAACTCTCTGTAATATCATTTTTAAACAGCACAGTTATAGAAACTTGGGAAACAGTATACTACTACCAAATTCTTTTATCTGAATTGAATTCAGTCCTTTGTATATTGTTTTGAAAATTCATTCTAATTTTGCTTTTATTCCCTTATAATTTCTAGCTTTAATAATATAGCAAGTTTTCTTTTATAGGTTTTAATGAATTGATTATTTCTAAGATAAATTAATTAAATATATAAAGCTAAATTTATAATATCTTCTCAAGATAGTATTTCCTTTACTCTCAAGAATAAGGGATATTAAAAGGCCAAAAGGCAATCTATTGTTAATAAAATTCCAATTTTTAAACTTTTAAAAATACCTGGAGGTACTGTATATTAGAGTCTTACTATGAAATGATGATATGATCTGAAAAACAAAATTGAATACTTAAACATATGGATATTGATCTGATGTTTAAAATGTATTCATCTTTTTAAAAAAATATGGGAATATCTTCTAGATAAGTTAATTAGAAATACTGTAAAACAACACAGTTTTTCAGTGAAAAATAATTTAATGAAAAAAAATTTTTATCTGACAATATGTATTAATCTACTTTATTTAGATAGCTAAAATATATTTGTATATAGCTTGTATGAAATGCTTCTTTGGGTTCTGAAGTTCTAAAATTTGATGGACATTTGTAAGCTGCATTAGGTATACAGAGCTCTGAATGTCATAGTTTTGAAAATGGTATTTTTTTGTATACTTAAAAAAAAGTAACAGCTACTTTATAACACCTTAGAAAATACAGTTGTATGACAATGTCTTTTGTTCACACCAGGGTTTAGCTGGGCCAGAAGGTAATCCAGGTCCCAAAGGTATACGAGTAAGTAGGCATTTTCATCATTTTGTTAAGTGTACTTGCATAAAGGTAGAATAAAATATACAAAATACTTAATATTTTTTACACTTGCCTAGTAGCTTTGGATTTATACAAATTTAACCTGAAAGGAATACACTTGCTTACTAGAGTAGTTATTTTCACTTCTGTGACAATAGAAAACAGTCTTATGATGGTAGGTTTACATCATTATTTTCTATTAATTTATTTTTCCTAGTGTGGTGTCTGACATGTTAGCATGTGCTCTATAAACATTTTTAGTATCATATGCAAATGTATACAGACATAAGGAAGTTATCATAACAAAATTTGAAGAGGTAAACAACTTCATAGTAGTTCAAGGCCAATATAATTTTATTATACAAAATCTGTTAAGAGAAAAGTTATCTGCAAAGAAGGATATAAGGTTATTGTATCAAGAACATCTCACTTCACTTTCAAATCATTAAGGGAAATGTTAGCCCTTTTTAATCACTAAGGGAGTAAATTAATATTGCTATGTTATATACATGGTGCATAAAATCAAAAACATATAGTGTATAATCAGAGCTGGTTCTAGGAAAATTTAGTACATGAAAATTTTTGTTTGAAAAATTCTTTATTTTTAATAGCCCGTTATTCTCCGGAGTCTACTACATTTGTGCCTTGTATTATCTAAATACCTTTTAGAAATAAGTATAACATAAAGTATTTAGACAACATTTACCTTACATTTAAAAAATGAGTAAATATTTTCCTATATTTTCATCTTTTATTTTACCATCAGCCCTGTGAAGTAGGAGAGCAGGTCTATCATCCCATTTGATGGATGAGAAGATAGTAAGCTAAGGAACTTCAGTGATTTGGCAAAGTTCTAACTGGCTTCTCAGCTTTAGTCCTCTACTACTATCCCATGCTGTCTTTGTCTTTGCATTAGGTAAAAATATGGAGGAAAGTCATGGAATTTTTGTTAGAAATTACACTGAAAACTCATATTGACTCAGCTTTAGGAAGCAAGAACATGGGTTGTGTAGTTAGAGGCTGCCTTTTTAAAAAACATTTAACATGTCTTTTAGTAGCGTTGTGACTTTAGATGTCATTCAGTCCCTCTGTGCTTCATTTTTCTAATCTTATTAAATGGCAGTAATGAAACTTGCTTTCCAGGTAGTTGTGAAAATTAAATTAGATGAGCATTCTTAAAGCCTGGTGCCTAGCATAATGCATGTATTTACCGTGCTGATTCTATGATTATCGTTTGAATTTCAAAGTTTCTTCTGTGCATGTGCTAATAACTCCAAGACATATATACAAGATATATTTTACACAGCACAGCCTTCTTTTAATTGCATTTTCTCATCTTGCCTCAGTAATTCATACAAGTTGCTAAGTTCTTCTTTATATTGTTTTGGCATTGTATTATACATCCTTTTGTTGTTTCTTTTTTCTCCATTTGTATCGAAAATTGTTATCTCGGCTGTAACTCTTTTGGTTGGGTTTCCACAGCTAGCTTCATAAGAGCACTTAAAAATTGTTTTGTTTTATTTTATTATAGTGAGGTGGGTTACAGTGAGGATTAACTGCTTAAGTAGGCTGCATGAGCTGAAGTTTGGGCTTCCCACTGGCCCTCACTTCCCCTGGTGGTGGACCAGGTACCCTTTGTGTTGTCACGTGTCACCCACTCTCTTCTCTCCCTCCTCTAGTTAGTGTCCAGTGACTGCCAATCCCACCCTTGTGTTAATGTGACTAGTGTTCAGGGCCCACTTATAAATGAGGACACTCAGTTCTTTGTTTTTGTGATAGATTACTGAGTATTATAGATGCTAAGTCCATCCAAATTGCTGTGAAGGTCATAATTTTGTCCTTCTTTATGGCTGTGTAATATTACACCATGTATATGCACCACATTTTTTTTAGCCAGTTCACTTTCGATGGGCAGCAGGGTTGGTTCCATGTCTTTGTTATTGTGAGCAGTGTGGCAATAAGCATGCATTGCAGGAGTCTTTTTGGTAGAACAATTTATGTTTTTCTGGGTATATTCCCAGAAGAGGGATTTGGAAGGTCAGAGTGTTTGGAAGGTCAATTTTTCATTTTTTTTTAGAAAGTAGGATTTATTGAGAGGACAGAAAGCTCCCAGAGCAAGAGGGGACCCCAGGGAGTTGCCCAGTTTTTAGTTCTTTTAGGAATCGCCGTACTACTTTCCCTAAAGGTTGAACTAGCTCACACTTCACCAATAGTGTAGAAGTGTTCCCTTTTCATTGTACCCATGCCAGCATCTGTTGTGTTTTGACTCGTTAATGATAGCTATCCTTACTGGAGTTAGGTGGTATCTCATTATAGTTTCGGTTTGCATTTCTCTGATGATTAGTGAGGCTGAATGTTTTTTCATGTGTCTGTTGGCTGTTTGTAAGTCATCTTTTGAGAAGTGTCTGTGCCCTTTGCCCACCTTTTAATGTTATTGCTTTTTGCCTTTCGTTTCATTTGAGTTCCTTGTAGATCCTGGATGCTAGGCCTTCTTTTGATGCATACTTTGTGAATATTTTCTCCCATTCTGTGGGTTGTCTCTTTACTCTCCTAATGGTTTCTTTTTCTATGAAAAGACTTTTCAGTTTGATGAGGTCCCACTTGTCTATCTTTGCTTTTACGGCATTTACTTTGGGGGACTTGGTAAAAAATTCATTGCCTACTCTGATATGCATAATGATGTTTCCTGGTTGGGCGTGATGACTCACGCCTATAATTCCAGCACTTTGGGAGGCCGAGATGAGAGGATTGCCTGAGCCCCTGGGTTTGAGATCAGTCTGGACAACTTGGCAAGACCTCATCTCTACAATAAATCAAGAAAAATGAGCCAAGCGTAGTGGCACATGCCTGGAGTTCCAACTACTTGGAAGACTGGAGTGGAAGGATCACTTGAGCCCAGCAGATGGAGACTGCAGTGGCCGTGAGTGTGCCACTGTGCTCCAGCCTGGGTGACAGAGTGAGACTCCAACTCAGAAAAAAAAGGATGTTTCCTACATTTTCTTTTAGTATTCTTACAGGTTAAGGTTTGACGTTAGGTCTTTGAGTTTGTTTTTTTTTTTTTTTTTTTTTTGAGTTGGAGTCTCACTCTGTCACCCAGACTGGAGTGCAGTGGCCACTCCTGGCCACCGCAGTCTCCATCTGCTGGGCTCCGGCGATCCTTCCACCTCAGCCTTCCGAGTAGCCGGAATTACAGGCACGTGCTACCACGCCCGGCTGATTTTTTGATTTATTGTAGAGATGAGGTCTCGCTGCCCAGGCGGGTCTCGAACCCGCGGGCTCAGGAGGTCTTTGAGTTTTGAGTTGATTTTTGTATATGGTGATTGGTAGGGATCCAGTTTCATTCTTCTACATGTGATCAGCCAGTTTATCACCATTTGCTAAATATGGTCTCCTCTCTCCAGTGGTTATTGTTGGTGGCTTTGTTGAAGATGAGTTGGTTGAGACACTGTGGTTTTGCTTTCAAAATCGGTGTTCTGTTCCATTGCTCTGTATGTCGGTTCTTGTGCCAATACCAGGCTGCATAATAGCATTTAAAAAAAAAATCACAGGTCTAATCTTTTTTCTGATTTAATTAGGCTTATAATTAGTAATTTTAGATTGTAGGAAAATAATAAGTAGCTAATTATTATTTACATAGAAATTTATACATTGTGAAGACATTTCAACTTTTAAAATTTTATCTTGAAAATGTTCCTTTGGGAGTGTGAGTGGAATTAGGAGGACATTTCACATTCATAGAGGGTTTCAAATGTAGATTTGTGATATTAACTTCAAATCTGGTTAAAAAGACAAAGATCATAGGAACACACAGGATTATAGAATGTTTTTCACTTAATTTATGTCCTGTTATTGTTATACATTGTATATTAAAATTTTCATGAATCATTTGAGAAATTATCATTTGACTTGCTGTTATTTGATTATATTTTTTGGTATTGAGATAAATTCTTTGTCAAATGTAAACATTTAAAATATGCTATATTTTTAAACCTTGCTTTGACATTTTTTTGGTGTGTGATAATATGCTAAGTGCCTCAAAAAGTATCAGTGTGCAGGACCTCTTCTGGCCCTCTCATGGCCCTATATGGTGACACAAAATTGCTTCTAACTGGATCTACAAACTTCAAGCCAAAAAGCAAAAACATATGTTATTATTTTTAATGTTCTTTGTTTGATTACACATTAAATTCTAGTTTAATGATGGTGTTTTGAGAATGACCTCATGATTTATTTGTTGGGCACTGCTGACAATTTATTTTTGTTAAAATCAGTGTAACAATGATCAAGAAACCTCTATGAAACAGCTAAGTAATTACTTATAGCATTGTCCTCTTTAGAATCTCTAATTGTAAAATGTTGCATTTATACCCTGTACAGGCTCTGTTAAGTAGAGGTTTGACTTCAATTCTTGAGTTCTCAGGTGGTTATTTAATTCACTGATGAGTGTACCCCAGTTATGGTGTCTTTTCCTTTTATTTATGATCCAAATTCCTGCTGGATACATTCAAACAAAAGTTAGCTGATTTTACACTTGAGGTCATCAACTGATGCTTCTGAAAATGCCCTCCAGCTTATCATCATAATCCTGAATGCTTTAGTATCAAAAATACTTTTGTATGCTTTGCTTTAAAAGAAATATGTCCCATTCTCCAGCTGCTTGACTTTCAAGTAAGCAAATGATAGATGTTTCACTTTATTAAAGTTATGTATAAAGGAATTAATTCTCTTTCTCTTTTATGTTATTTTTTTTGCTTGTCCATGCAGTCTATAGAACATAATGCAATATTAGATGTTTTTTTCTTGTCAAAGAAAAATTTTCCTCGTACTGTGGCCATACTTAACTAGCTTTCATTTTCAGGAGCTAAATTCCTCCCAAAGTTTTTATTCCCGGCAACTTAGAAGTGATTCCTGGGACATTTACCTCTTTCTTTTTAAAAAAAATATGATAAAATATAAATAACATAAAAATTTGCCATTTAAACTCTTTTTAAGTGTACAGTGGCCGTGGGCACATCCACATTGTTGTACAACTGTCCCACCAGATGGAAACCTTTTCCATCTTCTAAAACTGAATCTGTACCCAGTGAGCACCAACTCTCCATTCCCACCCTCAGCACCTGGCAGCCACCATTTTACTTTCTATTTATGAATTTGACTACTCTAAGTACTTCATATAAGTGGAATATACTATGCTGATAGCATACTATCATGTGCTCTCTCTCCTTTTGTGACTGGCTTACCATAATTGTATTCAAGGTTCATCCATGTTGCAACATGTGTTAGAATCCTTCATTTTTAAGGCTGAATACTATTCCACTGTATGTATATGCAGCATTTTGTTTATTCATTCATCTACTGATGAGCATTTAGGTTGCTTCTACCTTTTGATAATTGTGAATAATACTGCTGTGGGTGTGCAAATGACATTTACTTTTTAATGTCTGAATTCTTTAGTGTTTATCATTATTGAGGCATTTACTCTGAAAAGTCACCCGTTCTCTGATTCAAAATGAGTAGGGTTTATTTAGAATTCAGTCAAAATGGTCTACTTCAGATTCTTTTCTTCTTTGACTTTTCTGTATTTCCATAAAACTGTTCTTTTCCCACCTCTGTTTCAACTTCTTTCTGATCAGTGATAATTTTCTCCATTTTTTCCTCAGAACTTTGGTCTATTTAAGACTTCAGACGTATATATCCTTCAAGTCTTTTATCTCTTTATGAACTCTTTTTATGAAGTACTCATCTCCCAATTCTCTGCCAAGATAATTACATCAGAATGCCTCATCATAACCACAAATTCAGAATGACTAACAAAACTCATCTTCTTTCTACCAAACTCAGCTTTCCTATTTGCTTTCCACATTTCTATCAGTGGTTGCCATTTGTCTATTAATTCAGCTATAAACCTTAGATTCATCTTTATCTTTATCCTTAGACACAGAAGAAGACCTGTTTGACTCATGTGAATTTTATAAATTGCAAATTTTATTATATCAAAACTATGCCTGATTTTTTTGATGACTCACAGTATAAATTGCAGACTTTTTATCATGGCATAAAAGATCCTTCCTGATGTGGCACTGATGTGGCACATGCCACCCTCTCCATCCTCACCTCCTGCCCACCTACCAAGTAAAACTATTTGCAGTTCTTTGCAAATGCCGTGTCATTTCATTCCAACTGATAGACTGATAGCGCATCATTATTACTGCCTTTCATTTCCTTCATGACTCAGCTTAAATGTTGCCTTTCAGTAAAACACAGTAACATCAATATTCTCTCTAAGCAAAGTTGGTCATTCTGCTTCCAAAGTTCTCATTGTCTGCATTTGTCATATCACCTATTATATAACCATGCCACAATTATCATATGATATTATAATTATTTGTTTGTATGACCCTCTTTTTCTAATAGCTAAATACTTCTAAAGGGCACTGATTTTAATATGAATCTTTATAAACCCAGTACCTGACATGAAATGGCCATTAAAATAATGTTTATTGAATACATGATGGCAGGCTGGCACATAATCCATAATCCTTCAAACTTGGCCCATTTAAAGAAATGTCTAACAAGTTTTCTAGCATTCAGTGTTTCCGATCATGGGTGTATTCTGTGTACTACCAATAGGTTAATATTTTAGAAATACAACATAACATAAGGGCACTACCATACTCTCCTAAAATCAGTAGCTTACGTTTGTCTAAATTATACAGTCTCAAATTTTTAGCTTGAAATTTAAGGCTCTCCTTCATATAACCCTAAAACTACTATACATTTGATCTATAAAATTGATAAAACAGGCTATTTGCCACAAGTGAGATATAACTAAAGTATGTTAGGATAAAATACCTTGCATTGTTATTTATTTGTATCCCTTGTTTCTTAGATCAGATTGAAATCTTTGTGATGGCAGGCTGGCACATATAGCACTTCAAGTATAGAACCATCCTACACACGAAGCATCTTATACATAAAACATGATCAATTACCATTTACACATGTACCCTGATTGTTACCGTTTATGAAGACTTTGTTATGTCTCTGCTTACTGTAATTGCTCTTGGAATGTTCTTTCTCTGGCCTCTGTCTATCAAGATTTTGCCCACTCTTTAGACTTATCTCAAATGCTGGTCTCCTTTGAAGCCTTCTTGGAATTCCTTTACCTCCCACTGGGATGAATCTCTTCCTCCTCTGTACTTCATGTAGTCTTTTGACACATCCATTCTGTCTTAAATGTTAATTAGTTATATACATATATTTTCTGCCCACTATAAAAGTTAGTGAAGAAAAGGATTTGGCCTTGTTGATTTTTATTAGTCACCATGTCTTAAGTTATGTTCCCTATATTTGTTTTTAATGGAAAGATTGACCTGTAACTTCTGGAAGATAAGCAATTAGGGGAGGGAAAGTGCTTCAGATTTCTAAGTCTTATAATTTCATATTACCACAGATAAAATTTTAAGTACTTCTATTTGGAATTACTTATGGGGTGACTAGTCAAATGAAATAATATAAAGATTATTTTCTTGCTTGAAGGGTTTTATTGGCTCTCCTGGAGAAGCAGGACAACTGGGACCTGATGGAGAAAGGGTAAGTCCCTCTCCTTCCAATATTATTTTCAAAGTGATATATTTATGATAATGTATGTACATCAAGGGTCATAAACTCAGATGTCAAGAGTGTAACCTCCCTGAGTGAGCAAGCCAGGTATAAGAAAAATCACCTGCCAGAAACATAATTAGACTCTTAAAAATTTTATTGAATTTTGTTATTAGAATGTAGCATGATATAAATATATATATGATTAAACATTTTAAATTCAAATTTAAAAAACATACATCAAAATGCCAAGATTATCTCATTAGAAAATTTTTATTTTCTTTAATTAGGATATGAATTCTTGAAAGGTCTTTATTTTGCAGAATAATGTGCAGTGAAGAATTTGGCCTCAAAAGATATATTTTTGTTTAATTTAATGGTGGGAGGTAGCTGTTCATAAATGTAGGTACTTATGAGTAAATACAGAATATTTACATAATGGTTTGTTACACTTAAAATTCTAGCATTGCAGCTTCATCATATCTAGTTTTCAGTGTAATTTGCAGTACAGTGATTTCTCTTTTCATTCCTTTATTTACCCTGTAAATATTAATTGGAAAAAGCAGAATAGAACAATATTAGTATATTGTCATAAAATCTGAAACTATAGAGTCTTATTCAAAATGTAGCCTTCACCTCTATCATTATAAGAATGCAATTAGGCCAAAACTTTTATTACTGGAAATTGATTTTTGCAAATAAAAATGAACCGGATTATTCTTTACTAGTTTAATTTTTTAAAATAAATATGTAGATTTTTAGTGAGTAAATTAAACCACGTTTTCAGGTAATTACCATGAATGCCCATGCAGAGTTCATATGTGCTGTAACAACGATCAAAATATCCAGTCTTCTTTGATGAGATGAGGAAGAGATTTTCCCTTGGTGAACATAGCAAGTCATTTCTTTCAATAACAAAGAATATCTTCAGCGTAATGCTATAACTAAACCATTTAACCTTCCATGAGGTACGGCAGACTAACAGGTGATATACTTCATTGATCATGTGAAAAATGAATGAATTCTTCTTGATCCAAAAGTGTATATCCACCTTACATTATTAATTAATCTGCTGCTCATGATGCAGTCCTTTTCTGACCTTTTGACATGAACTTATTTCTAGTAAGTGATTTGATAAATAAACCAAAATTATATGTCCTCACAACTTATCATCTTGGATTTAAGAAACTTTAAGCCCAGCGTTGACACTGGCCATCGTAAGCACAGTGCTGTAATCACACTCACTAATTTTGATCAGTTTATACGAACTTATCAGGGTTTGTTTTAATACATAAATACAGGACCATTTTGTGATATTGTTCCCCTCATGAGCACCATGTCCTAATATTATTTGGCTATATCAAAGTTGTCATTAAAACTGTGAATGATATATCTAAGAATGTTATGTTATAAAACTAAGTACAAAGAAGCAGAAGAAAATAACATACAGTAATGCTAATCACCCTTGAAGTCAAATAGAAATAAAATGTCCTTTCTGGATGCCAATAATATACATATACATGCATATTGTGTGTATATATACACACAAATGAAATATACGTATATATATGAAAAATGCTTGTTTAATACTGTCTGTATTATCATTAGGTTTCTTGCTGAGGTTTAGGGAGGCTACTGAAATTTTAGAAAATAATTGTTATATTGTTTTTTTTAAAAAGTTGGTTGTATTATATAAAGATACATAAAGTCTTAATGAAATGAGTCCTTTTGCTCATCTATGAACTCTTTTTTGGTAATCAAAAATGAATATTTTTCAAACACGGTTGACTTGAAAGTGAATAGATTATTTCAACCAATAATATCTTCTAGTTTACCTGTCTGTCAATCCCAAACTACATGACTGTGAGAGACTTCATAGTCTACAATTCTCAATGTGAGTCTCTCAAGGAATGTGCTTTAGACAGCAAGTAACCAAGTAACAGAAAACCCCAATTGAAACTGGCTTAAAAATAAGGAAATTTTAAATGATGTTGTTGATAATGGCAAATGATTTATTCAAGGTGTTTGTGTGTGTGTGCGTGCGCACACGTGCGTGCCCATGCACAAGGCACTGTGAAAATTCTTTACATAAATTAACTCCTTTAATATTCACAAAACCAAAATACAGATACTATTAATCTTCTCATTATAGATGAGGAAGGTGACAAGATAACTTGTCTTAGATTATGCACAGGTAGGAAGAACAAAGCCAGGATTTGGACACAGGTTTTCTGGCTCCAAAGCCTGGGTGCTTAAGTATTAATCCTATTCCTTGCTGCTTTTTGCAGGGTCAAACATCCATAGATTAGGTGGGAACTAAGTCCAAGATTATTATCTCCCTGCTTTGCCTTTCCCAGTGTTAGCTTTCCCCTAAGGTTGGTTTTCCATATGATTGCAAGATTGCCAGTGCAAAGGTTAAATGTGTTGGTTTATATCCAGACAGAGAGAGTGGGAAACAGAGGACAGAGAGGGCATTATCCCTTAGGTATGGAAAATAAGACATTGCTGTTCGTTTGGTTATGCCAACTTTGGTGGTATGCTTACCTCTGGACAAATAGCTATTGCCAGGGGAGTGTCAGGATCCTGTTTGAAAATACAAATGGGATGGGTTCCTGAATAAATTTGGAATTTTGAAGAAGGAAAGGGCCTGCTTCAGTTAAATTGAGCTTTTCTGAACATCACACCAGTTTACAGAACAACTTATTTCTGTCTTTGACATACTTCATTAATTGATATTTGAGAAAAAACATTTGTAGTATGCAATTCATTCATTCAACAAATATTTACTTTTGACTTTTCTATATTCTAGGGTATTCCTGGGATCCGTGGAAAGAAAGGTCTTAAAGGAAGACAGGTAACTTGATTCTATTTCTGAAGTTCATTTTAAAGCTATATAATCTAGTTATGTGTTTATTTCTCACCTATTTAAATATAAATATGTTTTTTTGTTTTTGTTATTGTTATTCATAATCCAGCCTACTCAACAGAGTTTAATTTCTTCTCTTGAACAATGTATCAAATAATACTTAAAAATATAAAGGAATATTTATATTTAAAAATAACTCTAAATTTAATGTTTCTGATCCTTTTACTTTTACTATACAAGTGGTGATGGGGGGACCCTTATTTCCATAACAAGAATGTAAAAATGTCACAGAAAATGCATGAACAACTTAAAACTCTAATGAAAACTCTACTAACCTATTCTTATATGACCAAATGTTCTAGAGATGAAATCTCAAGTTCCAGAGATTTTTTAAATACCTACTTAAACTGTTAATTCAGAGACTAGTTTGCTACAGTTTCTTATATTTTCAGGTTAAAAAAATCAAGGAAAGTGGCCGAGCCTGGTGGCTCATGCCTGTAATCCTAGCACTTTGGGAGACTGAGGTGGGAGGATTACTTGAGCCCAGGAGTTTGAGACCTGCCTGGGCAACATAGCAAGGTCTCATCTCCACACACACACACACACACAAATCAAAAGAATTTTCTGGGTGTGGTGGCGCATCAGTAGTACCAGCTGTTCAGGAGGCTGAGATGGAAAGATTGCCTTAGCCCAGGAGGTCAAGGCTGCCGTGAGCCATGATCATGCCACTGTACTCCAGCTTGAGTGAGAGTGAGACCCTGACTCAAAAAAAAAAAAAAATCAAGGAAAGTGAATTTTGCTAGGTAATATAATAATTTCAGAGGTGGGAAAATTTTGTCATCCCATACCCCATGATTTAACAAATGAGAAAACTGTGGTCTGGAGAAGCATCCTCAGATTGCCCTGGCTAAGATAGCATAGCTAATTAGCCACCTGCTTTCTACTTGTTCTGTTTTTATTACTATTCTAGGATGCTTTAAAGGTTAGGCATTCTTTATGAACTGCAATCTCTAGTCTATGGGGAGAAAAACTGAGTTTTCTATAAATAGCTTTTTAAAAATTTTGGTATACCTGAATAAAATCTTAATGATAATGGCAAAGGATTATAGATATTATCAGGATTAATGTTCAAATTATTTTAAAACATTTTATCCTTGGAGACTTGCAGTGTTCCTTGAAGATAAATGAGTAGGTATTAATGTCACCATTACAGAGGTGAGAAAAGTAAAGCTTGGAGATATTAAAGGACTTGCTCAGAATCATATAGTTAAAAGTGGTAAAATCAAGAATTGCACACAGCTTCTCTGAGTCTAAGGCCAGAATTCTTTCATTACTTCTTAGATATTTCTGCCCTGTCTTTCTACTCATACTGCTTAGAAGAGGCATAATTTATTTTTCCATGACATCTGGCCAGAATGTGATAAAATTATTTTAAAGTTTTGATGTATTAAGATAAATATGCCAAACTGTCAAGAAACACAAAATTAAGCCAACCACTTTGATTTCCTGCTAATCTTACAATAGTCGTAACAATAGAAACTGCCATCATTACCATCATCACCATTTTTTAACTCTCAAGCACTGTGCTAAATATTTTGTGTATCATTTCACTGAATTATGTTCTATTATACTTGGATATATATATTTTTTACATTTTAGTTCTTATACACGGACTCCAACAAAAATACTTCTTTATTTAATGCCTATACGGTTTCTAATCTAAATATACTGATATGGGCCTTCTCAAAATCGTCAATAGGTAAAGTTTATCTTCCTTATTCTTGTTCTCTCCATTCTAGTTTTTTTCATCTTCCTCCTGTCAAAGTATGCTTCCAATGAAAGAACCAAGAAAATCATTTACAATAATATATAAATCATTCCAGTGCTTTAAAATGGTAATTTGGCCCTTTGGTAATTTAATGTATAGAATCTTAAGACAAAATAATCTGCAATGGTCAGAGGGATCATTGGTAAGTAAATCAAGTATTTTCTCAAAGCCCCTGGTATTATGTAACTTAGATGACTATCAATTTCATTTGTTAATATGACTTGTCTCATGTAGATATTAACTTTATTTTGTAATTAGCTATGTATAGGCAATTTCTAGTTTTCTACTCTATAATGCATTATAAAATTATCCAGGGAAATTTACAGATAACTCCTGGTTTCTTCATGGAGAATTATAACATTATCCAACAGGATTCTACTGAATTCAAAAGGGGAGTTCAAGAAAACTGTAGAAAAATAGTGCATGAAATGACTACTGGGCTGTACTTTTCTTTACATTACAAAATTTGCAAAGTTGTATTACTTTAGAGAATATGCATTTGTAATAGATTTAGATCCTTAGAAAAATAATATTTGATAAACATATGTACCATTTTTCTTAGCTAATGTTTATTTTTTAAAATCTGTTTTGTGCTTTAATATGTATGCTGTATGTACTTTTTTCTTGTTTTTACCACAAAATTATTTGGCCACATTTATTAGGAAAATATGAGTACTTAGAGTAAGATACAGTTATAGCATATGTCAAATTATGGCAAGGCTGACCTTAGAGACTGTTCCAGAATATATTATCCTATGTATAAATTCTCCCCCTTATTCTTTCTGTTTATTATAAATAAAACAATCTTCAAAGGATATTCGGCATAATAGGATTTTTGTGTTTCAATTTAGATGACTAAAATTCCATGAGAAGCATGGTCATTTATGACTGTTTTATAAAAGTAATCTTTCTGGGTTTCAAATAAATTGTTTCCTCATATTTTAGGTAGATGAAAGTACTCAGTCTTATGAACATGGAGTATGACTCAGTTTTAAATATTTATTAGAACATGTAATTTACAGAACAGTAGTAATATTCTTTGAGTAACCTGTAAGTTTTATGTAACATTTCACATTTAATTTTTTTCCATTTTGTTTTTTTAATATATTTTATTTATTTATTTATTTATCTATTTAACGAAAGCAGGATTTATTGAGAGGACAGAAAAGCTCCCACTGTGGGAGTGGACTTAAAGGGGATGCCCTATATATTTTATTTTAAAGATATGGGGTACAGTTCAAGATTAAGTATACAAATGGACATCATACAGGTAAAGTTTGGGCCTCCCTTTGGTCCCCACTTTGCCTGCTTTGAGATCAGTTACCCTTATTGGTGTTGTGCCCCCCTGCCCCACCCTGGCAGTATCCCGCTACTGCCAATCCCTTTCTAATAGTATTACGGTAAATGTTTAGGGTCTGCTTATGAGTGAGAACGTGTGGTACTCTGTTCTTTGTTTCTGTGATAGATCACTGAGTAGCATAGGCTCTAAATCCAAGTTGCTGTGAAGTTCATATGTTTGTTCTTATTTATGGCTGTGTAGTATTCCATTGTGTATATGTACCACATTTTTTTTATCCAGTCCACTGTTGATGGGCAGAATGATTGGTTCCATGTTTTTGCCATTGTAAATATTTCTGCAGTAAACATGTGTGTGCAGGTATCTTTTCGGTAGAATGATTTGAATTCCTCCAGGTATATTCCCAGTAGAGGGATTGCTGGGTCATATGGAAGGTCAATTTCTAGTTCTTTTAAAAATCGCCACACTGTTTTCCTTAGAGGTTAAACTAGTTTGCGTTTTCACCAGGATGTACTTAGATTTTTTAAGTCTCTGAATTTAAGACCAGAAATTAGAGAATTATTTTACTTGCTGTATTATGTATGATGTGAAACACTTTGACAGTTATGATAGTGAAGGTACTAGGCATGAAAAATCTCAAAACCAGAGTGCAGGTCTTTCTAATCTTTCTAAATATCAATCAGGATAAGTGTCTTTGGGCTAGTGAATTGGGTTCTCAGCTGTGTACTAAAGCTTCATATTTTTATATGAATGGTTGCAAAAATATATATTGACATCCTATCAGATATACATTTAGGATAGAAATGTGGAGAAGTGAGAGTCTTATCCAGAGTTGTCTAATGAGTTACTAACACTATCAATCTTAGAATTGGGAAGACGTTGCTATGAATCACATGCTTATATTGCTAGCCAAATGATCACTTGTTTTCCTGAGTAAACACTAAACATGGAATTAAGTTGTTGTGAACAAACTTAGTGGTGTCTATGTGTTTTTTTTCAAAGAATTTATAGACTGACAAGTATGATGTATCCTCTCCTAGACAGTATAAATATTATATTAATGCTATTGAAATAGACATATTTAAAAATAACATTGTCATTCAAGAGATAATTATTTTTAAAAAGAGATCATTACTAGCTGTTCAAGAAGTATTTTTTAAAAAGAGATAATTATTTATTGTGTAGCCTCATATTGGTATTTTAAAATTTTAACATTTGTGTTAAAATTTATTTCTATTTAAGTCTTACTTTTCAGAAAGCTCTTTTTTCCCAAAGTAAAATATTGTGTTTATTCAATGTTTATAGATTTAGTTGATATTTATAACACAATAGTTTTTTCAACCAGGCCCATGAGTTTGAAATAGAAGAACCGTTTTTTTGGTTGGGAATTTAGTATATTTTGATCAAAGACTATTTTAAAAAATAGTTAAACAAATTCATTAGTTCCTTGGTCATATATTTTTGGTGTTTGACATGTTTTTTTCTTCCTTGAATTATCAGTCATACTTGATTTCAGGATCTTAGCATTAGGTGCTTACTAATCACTACACTTATTTTTAAAGACCTCATGTAAGCACATTACATATTAGTCAATTTATGTGTATACTCGTGCTTTTGGATATGGAAGTATTATAGTTCTTACCTGTCCCTCTCCTTTCCTCCTGCACTCCCTATATGTCACAACTAGATCAAAACCCTTCTTGCTAATTAATATTAGAGGACGCCCATGGAGCTCTTGGTACCTTTGATAAAACTAACCTTTGAAGATGGAGAAGCCCAAAAGGCTACTATTGATCCATCCTTTTGTTCTCTGTCTGTGGATATTTGAATTCAGAAATCTCAGAAAAAACAAGGTAGTAGACT